GAGAGAGAGAGAGAGAGAGAGAGAGAGAGAAAGAGAGAGAGAGAGAGAGAGAGAGAGAGAGTAAAACATCATACAGTTCTTCAGGGAACATATCATTACATAATAAAATTGGAAAAACAAAGAGAGGGAGAGGATTAGCATAGCTGCCGCCCTTAACAGAAGAGGAAAAAACAAACAAACAAACAGAGAAAGTAAGTTAAGTAACACATCATGCAGTTCTTCAGGGAACATACTGTTAAAATTGGAACAACACAAAGAGAGAGAACATTAGCATGGCCCCTGCGGAAGGATGACACACATAAATTGAGAAATAGTCCAAGCAATGGAACCATTTAAAAAAAAAAAACACGAATATAATAAATAAATAAAAATCAGGCAATTGATGATTCTATATATCATCAAACAGAGCTGCCCGGTAAACCGTAGGCAGAGAGGGAGAAGAGGACAACAAATGATTGGATATATATCCATCCCTCTCCAACCCTTGACTGCAGCAAATCCCTGTTTCTCTTCTACCTTCTTCACCCGCATACAACGTACATACGGTCATTATAGCGGTATTTGGGGTATCTTTCAGTCTAAATACAGCAACAATGACCGTACGTCGTATTCGAGTGACGAAGGCAGTAGCCCAGCAGAACCTGACACAGAGCACTTTGAGGACAACGCGTCTGCCTTCCAACCTTTACAGGAAAAAGACAAATCCAAAAGAACTTTCAAGAAGTAAAAACAACAACAACACATTCAGCAGTATGAATAGCTTCAAGAAAAACACAACAGGTACCTATCACAGCGCAAAACCACATTTACAGCGGTCTGGATAACTCCCCGCTTGTTGTCTTGACAGTTTTTGGGGTAACTCCCGTAGAAATTGCACTCTGTGCCAAGATAACAGTTTCGAATTGCACTTCGGGAAATGTTTACAACCCAGCTTTCTGGCCAGGTAGGCTGCCCGAAGTGCAATTATAACTCCTTTTTGTGACTCCCGGCCAGTTTCCCCAAGGTTTTCTCTTCTTTCTTGAAGTTCTTTCCTTCTTCTCTTTTTTAAAAAGAGGTAGCCCTGAACCTGATTTTATCCATCCGATTCACTCAGAATTTGAACTTGTGACCTAGTGACTAACAGCTGCATACGTGTAGCGTCCAGCCACACAGGCGGGATAGGATAACTCGACAACGCTTTGTTCACAGTCCAAACGCGCATATTCACTGAAGTCGAGACCTGGAATGATGACAAAACAAATGTCATTGAATGAATGCTGGACGTCCATGCTCAGCAGCGCAACCATTTCGAAAAAGAGTGAGTAAAGCAATGGCAGCGCATATCTGACTCCTCGGTCCCCTCATTCTGAAGTGGAGTGCTCATTGTCTTTCACACAGCGGAAATAGAGTGCCAGTAGGGATTACCACCACATATCCAGGCAAGAGACCAAGGAGAGACAGCAAGAGCACGGGAGAGCGAGATTGTGGGGGGGGGGCAGGAGGGGGCAGAGGGGAGGGGGGGGGAGAGAGAGAGAGAGAGAGAGAGAGAGAGAGAGAGAGAGAGAGAGAGAGACGGGGAGGCACTGCTCACCTTTGCTGTGCAGGCATCAATTACACGGTTGTATGTGAAGCATGTGGGGTTGCCATATTCTTGGAGGCGGTTCAGCAGGACCTCGGCTTGATTTATGTTCCCCTCCTTACAGAGAGTCTCGATCATAGCAGCAATGCTATACTGATCTGGACGTATTCCAACCATCTCAAAGGACTTCATCTGCACATATTGCCGTTCACAAATAGATCCAAATAAAATTATCCACCACAACAAAGAGTGAAATGAGCAAGTCATGACGAGGGAGGTGTGGAACATAAAACAGAAATTAGCGCATCAAGAGAAGAGAGCTATGAACACACACAAAGACAAAGCCAGGTATGCTTCAGGAGGACACCAAAACTGCCAGGCAAGCTGATTGATGGACAGACCACACACATAAAACACACACACACACGCACACACACACACACACCTTTACGAAATTACGAACACGATCAGCCGAGATGATCCCAATGTGTACACACCTGTATCAAGGAGCATGCCTTCTGCACATATGTTGTGTATTTCCAAGGAGATCACACTGCCAGCACTGCTATGTGACCATTGAGTTGGTCGCATGAACTGCAGTCACAGTGCAGGTAGGCATATTTACTATGGGGGCTTCCTCTTCCATGTCCATTCCCTGGGCTAGGACACAACCTCAAATGGTGCCTGTTCTATGATGAACCATGATCTCCATCCAGCCGTGTTCAGCCGAATACAACACACGCTGCTTATGAATGTATATAAGGTACCTTTCAATCCGGTGCAGTCAGCATGAGGGTGCGTTGTATTCAGGGGAAACTGGTAGTGTGTCCAGGTCGAGAGCAGGTGTGGTGCCCTGATCCCAGCGGGTCCTCTAGTGCCTCCATACTTGTGGGGACCCTGTGGAAATCTAGAGGGGGCTGAGAGTGTTATTATGCTGCCCTCGTCTCTGCATGCTGTGAAGGTCACAGATTTGCAGCCAGGTGGTCTAACCACGCTTCCTAGGGCCTTCTGCAGACATCAAACCCCCCGCCTCTCCCCCCCAACCCTCCCCGGGCTGTGGGCTTCCCTCCAAAGAGGGGTTTAACAATACTGGACCATGGCATGACTGCAAAACCCCACAAGTAGTGATACAAGAAACTGAAATCAACAAATGGCACTACATACTTAGCAAGGTGATAATGGTCCAATCTCTCTCACCACGAAATGCACTTACCACCCTCTTTGCGTCACCATAGCCCCGCCCCCTGCCGACCGCACGCAGAAGTGCATTGAATGTATAGATGTCTGGCTCTAGTCCACCCTGGCGCATCTGATGATCACACAAAGCAGCAGGTCAGACATTCTGTATCCGACACAAACCACATCAGTGACACTGTCCCAGAAAGCACATCAGTGAAACTATCACACAGAGCACATCAGCGAAAGAAACTGTCACACAACGCATAACGCACATCAGTCAACCTATCGTTTGTCAATCTGCCAGACAAAAGTTGGAAGGTCCACCCTGTTGATCTGCCAAGTGTCATGTGCCTTGACTCATTGAGCTAGTGTTCGAGCTTTTGACCATGAGCAGCACACAGTTTCCATTGGACATAATAAGAAGGAATGAATTACAAATAACAACAGTTACGTCATTAGCAGCCATAACCTCACAGCTCTAGAAACCTGTGTATATGATTTCAAGTTGCAAACAACTTCCGACTGTAACTCTCAAATTGTGCGGATCTTGCTGGCTTCATGTGGATGTTGAGTGTGATGCATGCATAAAGCTTGAAGCAATAAAGATGAGAAAGCAGGATTTTTCCAGTAAAGGCAGAAACTTTCCAAGATTTTCTTTGTCCGCGTATGAGATGAGATTGTGTGCGGCATTCTGCACAGACTTCTCCTTCCTCCTCTCTGCTAGCATTCTGACTCCGGTTGTCGTCTCCTAATCCCACCTTCCTAAAAACGGATCTACCACCTGCTTATGGGATCAACTTGTTGCTAAGAGTATTAGGTAGTGTTGGTGTATCAGATTGTTTTCCACATTCTTCTTGGCCTCCTCCTTCCCCAGGGCTCAGGTGGTTGCGCCCTGGGCACACGCTGTGTGAGGCCGACACATCACAGACTGGCCACATGCCAATGAGAACGCAGCATTACCGTCACACAAGAGTCGAGAGCCAATGGGAAGGCTGCAAACACTTGGAAGCTGTGTGGCTGCCCAAACGTGCCTAACTGCATGGGGCCCAGGCCAGTATCGGAAGCTGGGCCTGGGCGCAGGCAGAGGCAAGCTACTGGGCCCCCCACACGCCTGGCCAGGCAAGCCAGACACCGGCAAACTTTCCATAAAGGAGAGTGTCTGCCCCAGCACTGCGACATTTCTGACCTGTGCAGGCATTGCGGCCACACTGCTGCATTCCTCTGCGAAAATGCGCTATGCGGGCAGGCTGGGGCACACGCAGGCGCTAAGTGGTGAGGGCACTGCGGTGGCAGTGGGCACAGACACTTGAGGCCAGAGGCAAGCTACTGGGCCCCCCACACGCCTGGCCAGGCCAGGCAGACACGGGCAAGTGTCTGCCTCAGCACTGGGGCATTCTGGCCTGTGCAGGCATTGCTGCCACACTGCTGCATTGCTCTGTGAAGCTGCGCTATGCGGGCAGGCTGGGGCGCACGCGGTGTCGGAGGGCGCGGTGTCCCGGCCCTCCGTTGTGTGCCGAATGCCTGCTCACTTACCTCCGCTGTGTGCCAAGTACCTGCTTGCGCACCTTTGATGTGTACCACACTGTGTATCAGGTGCCTGCTCGCTGACCGCTGCGTACTAGGTACCTGCTCACGTACCTTCGTTGCGCGCTGAAGACCTGCCTTCTAATCTTCGCTGTGTACTGCGCGCTTGCTCATAAATTCCCGCGGTATCTCGGGTCTGCCTGGGCTGCACTTTGCTGTGGGACCAGTCCAGTCGATGCTACCATCGGCAAAAGGATGGGTGCGCCACTGGACTTTCCATTGGTCCATGCAAGCTCGGCGCCCTGCTGTACAGCAGAGCACGACCGACCTGTAGCCGCGGTAGCCTCCGGGCTCGCCCAGGGACGCGAAGGTAGAGTGACCAGCGCGGTCTTTTCAAATGCGTGCCAAGTGCCCTCGAGTTGGGTTATGGGACGTAAGGGAAGAAAAAGAAAAAGAAAAAGAAAAGCAAGGGGAAAGTCGTGGGTCAGACCTGCGTTTGATCTGGGCCGTTACTTAAAGTACTGGACGATCAATCGGCCCCAGACAGTACTGGCGCTACGTTTACTCCCCTTCTCCCTTTCTTCCTTCCTATTATTATTGTTCTTATTAGTTGTCTTTTGAATTTCTTTTCCTTTCTTTTCTTTCCTTTTCTTTTCCTTTCTGTCGTTCCGTGGGGAGAAGAACGACTCTTTTTTTTTTTTTTTTGTCTGGACTGGTCGACCCTTCAAGCGCGGCTGTCAAACATTGTGTTGCAAGGCCCCAAAATGGGAGCACCCACGGTCGCGTTGGTAGGAGATTCATCACCTCCTGCGGGAGGTCATGAGCCCCCTCCTTGCCATCGGACACGGGTACCCATCAGGGTTAGCCCGGCGGCATGTTTTGAAGGGAGGAGGGTGCCCATCGGTATCCCGTTATCGGACCACCGCGTCGGACCTGCGGTTACCTTACGCCGAAGACAAAAGTGGCTGGCGATTGACAGCAGAAGGTTCTGAGGGCGCAATGACCGTTGAGGTCCTCGTCTTCTTTATTTTGTTTTATTTTATCTTATCTTATTTTACTAATTCCTGAATTACAAACTACCAATAAAAAGGAAACAATTTGAGTCCCTCGTTCAGAGCACGGGGATTGCGGTATGGGGAGAGCCTACAAAAGGGCGAGAAAGGCTGATTGTTGGCTACTGGCCTGCGGGTGTGCACAAGCAGCCCCGCTTTGCCGGCTTGATGGTCTGAGGCTGGAGGACAGAACGGCGAAGTGGGCAGGTGGTAGGCTGTCTGTGTGTGCGCGCTGTCGCACTTTTTCCAGTCGGGCCACTTCAGGCGACCGGAAAGCCAACAGGCTGTCACGCAGGGTTTGGATGTTTGTTTGCAATAAATAAAAATAAATTAAATAAAGCAAATCCCTTCCTGTTGTGTGCGTCCGACTTCGAGCGAGACCCTTCAATTACGGTCTTCGCCGGTTCCCGATCTTAGGAATCTTTTATTTTGATTCGGAACAGCAGAGAATCATGCAAATAATAACCATAAAATTCTAGTATGTCATGCATGCATTGTTTTGCCAATTTTTCTAGTCTTGAGAACTGTAACAGAATCATCAGAGAATACAATCATCAAGCACGGCAATGCAAGGAAGCAAGAGTGACTGACTCGGGAAACGACAAAGTTAAGTGAGGGAAGAATGACAACTCATAATAGCCTCAGAAAGTACATACGTAGAGAGCGTGGCCGGGCACTAGTCAAGAGTCCTCACTCATCCCTCTGAATCTCACACTCAATCTCTCACTTTTACAGTGCGTTTCTTGTCCCACGGGCCATGTCTCTGTGCTCCCTGAGGTTGTGGTCTCTGGATGTAGAGCCACCTGAAGCCCGCTAGCTCTGAACATTTCCAGCCAAGTCCCATGACACGGAAGTCAACCATAGCACAAAACTCCTCCCAAAGTGCAGAAAGATATGACCGAGAGAAAATCCCTCGTCTGAAATGCTGGAAATCTGATGGTTCAGTCACTGCCTCATAATCGATCATCGTTGGAGAGATGTACCTCTTTGCCAGGTCCACCAGGTCACTCCAGCAAGAGCCATCATTGAGGATGAAGGGCACTGGAGGCTTAGGATAATCAGAATAGAGCTTGGGTCCGAAGCTACGGATCAGCTTTGTCCTTTCCTCATCAAACTCTCTTTCTCTCTCCTCGAGATACCTGGTTGCTGCAATCCAGACTGAGTCAAAGTGGTCATGGACTTCCTTCCCCTTTTTCATATAAGGCCTTAGGTCGTAGATAGTACCGGAGGCAAAGCTGGTGAGAACCACAAAGACCGACAAGCCATCTCGCATGAAACCAACGGCACTGACATACTGATACTGGATAGCATCTTTGAGAGCTATCTGATTGAGGTTGGTCAAGACTGACTCACTGACGGGGAATGACTGGACCGCACTCATGTGCTGTTGTTGGGCAATGGAACAAATCCAATGCCTCAGAGTGGAGAAACTGTCTGACCAGAATTGGTCTTTGATGCAAAACAAAGGGGATGATTGGATACCAATTGATTCTGGCTGAAAGTCTCAAGTAACTCGGACGATCGAACGCCGATTAGGGCTGCTTGAGCGTTGCTTGAGTGCTGATTGAATACTTGTTGAGCGTTGTTTGAACACCGACCATTAGAAAGGATGCGGGTTGCTGAAGGGTTTTCGTAGGCTGGAGTGCTGGCGAGAACCTCAAGAGAAAGCCTTGATACCTTTCGTGTTTAACCAGGCCTCATTCTAGCCTGCTGCACCGTCTCTAGCAACGAGCCAGTACTCTGTAATTTATCTTTGCGATCATAAAAATAAATTACTTATTCAATATATTTTTACCCTTTTACCATCCGAACCGCCTGTTCGTGCTGAGCTTTCCTATACGTTTCCATGTCTCGGCACGCGTCTTCCTCCCATCCCGCTTTCTTGTCTCTGTTAGATCTGTGTTTCAACACGAGGACCTCGTCCTCTTTCATAATTCCTTCAGACCTCTCTGGATTTGGGTAGTGAACAAGATTGACTGCAGATGAGCTTCGTGAGCCTTGCACGCGGAACAAGGGACTGTTCCGGAACAAGGGATTGTTCCTGAACTTGGGGTCATGGAAGTTAGTCAGATTGTCTCGTAGATGCTGAGTACTCCAATCATTAGGTACATCTCATCACCTTTCGAAGTGTGGAAGCAGGCTCTAGCCCACGGTCTAGCTACGGGCATTGGAGGGAGATCAGACGGGAGTGCCCAATGCTGGACCGCAAACCGACCATGTCCCTATTCTGGTGCCGGTATCCGAAGTCCTACTGGGTGCCTGGCGAGCTTAGTTCGATTGGGACCACCCTGGAAACGAAATAAAAGAGGGAGAGCAACTGCCGTTCTTGACAGTTGGCCCGTGTAATTACTAGGGATCTTTCCTGAGGGCTACTGCCTATAGGTAAGGGTTCGAGCTTGCGATAGCTTTCTCAAGTCGATAGATAGTTATCCAGTCGGGGGTTCATTAAGTCCCGCCTTGCAAAAAGACAAACAGATCCGTTACCTGTGGGGTCACCAATCATAACATTATCTGCTCCAGGAGAAGCCACGTGCGTTCGACACTTAGTAGGGTG